CTGAAATTACACCAAAATATCCCATAATAACCCCAAATCACCCCAAAGGGCAAAGGGGACGGTGCTGCTGTCGGGTGAGAGACCCCAAAAAACACAGAATTCACCCCAAAAAAATCCCTAAAAAAACCCCCCCAAAAAAACCCCAAAACCGCAAAAAAACACCCAAAAAAACCCCCAAAAACCACCAAAATCACAGCAAAACTACATCAAAATAACCCCAAATCACCCCAAAGGGCAAAGGGACGGTGCTGCTGTCGGGTGAGACCCCAAAATATCCCGAATTCACCCCAAAAAATAACCCAAAAAAAACTGCCCAAAAAACCCCAAAATAACCCCCCACAAAACACCGAAATCACAGCGAAATTACATCAAAATAACCCCAAATCTCCCCAAAGGGCAAAGGGACGGTGCTGCTGTCGGGTGAGACCCCAAAATATCCCAAATTCACCCCAAAAAATAACCCCAAAAAAACCTGCACAAAAAACCCCAAAATAACCCCCAAAAAACACTGAAATTGCAGTGAAATCACCCCAAAATCACCCCCAAATCACCCCAAAGGGCAAAGGGGACGGTGCTGCTGTCGGGTGAGACCCGAAAAAACACAGAATTTACCCCAAAAAAATCCCTAAAAAAAACGCCCAAAAAACCCTCCAAAAACCACCAAAATCGCAGCGAAATTACCCCAAAATAACCCAAAATCACCCCAACGCCCCAAATAATCCCGAATTTATTTTAGGACCCCTCCCAATTCTCTTTGTGACCCCAAAAATTTCAAATTTTTCACCCCCAAAATCCAATTTTCCCCAAAATCACGATTTTCTCCCCTAATTCCTAATTTTTCCTCCAAAATTCCCATTTTATTCCTGAAAATCCTAATACTATCCACCCAAATCCTCTGAATTTCTCCGAAAATCCCAATTTTGTCCCCAAATTCCCAATCTTTCCCATAAAAATCCCATTTTTCCTCCCAAAATTTTCAATTTTCCCCCAAAATTCCCATTTTTCCCCCCAGGTCCCCGCAAGGCCCGCGAGGTTTATCGACATTTCGGGAAAGCGCCCGGAACCCCCCACAGCCACACCAAGTGCGGAATTTGGGGAAAATTTGGGGGATTTTGGGAAAATTTGGGAGAATTGGGAAAAAATTGGGGGATTTTGGGGA